CCCCCCCCCCCCATAAAGAACACTACATATTCACAGTACACTAGCTAGTATGAATGGGCCGGCCGGGAAAGGGTGACTAAGGATCCGCAACGAGGGGAGAATCAACAGCTGGTGCTTACTCTGCTGTTGATTAACCTAAACCGGTAGTCAGTTAATAGATCCATCATGGATCCATGATCATGGATGACTGGAGGACAGACTGACAGACTGACAAACTGACAGGGCTCATCCCCAACCGACCAACCCAGAAGGTGGATAAGTGTGTAGTCCTCTTGAAGGATGATGGGGCGGGAAAGAAAATCGAAGAACACAGACCTGATCGACTGTTGCTTGCACGCCACTTCTGCCTGCGTGGTTCACTGTGGTCCAGTGGTTTGGTCTGCCATCTGCATGTATCCCTGCCAATCCGGCCCTATCCTGGTCGATTTCTTCTGTTGCGCTGTCTAACCCAGGGATCGCCTCGCTTGCTTGCAGTATATTCTACTCTGGACTGCGTTGGGAAAATAAGTTTATCTGGGAACCGTGTCCCTACCTACTCTGTACCGTGAGTCTGTCTAGTCGACGACCTAGGTAGGGACTGCTGATAGGAACGAACCACCGTAGAGTCCGGAGGTACCTCGAATAGCCCTGTATACTTCTTCGGTCAGAGTAGCACCGGGGTGAAATCAATTAATTGAACAAATTATTATTCTCTAGCCCCTCTCTTAGCCCATCAAGCTCACTTTTTTTGTTTTTTTTTGTTTTTTTCTTTTTTTTTTTTTTTCCAATCTAATAATCCCTTGACTCGTGATCGCCTCTCACCCTCGTTGTCGCTCTCTTGCTCGTCCGCTTCCCTACCTCAGAATAGGTCGGATTCATTTAATTTGATTCTCGTCATCGTCCTCCACCGACTTGCCTCGTTTCTGATTTCCTATCTTCCGCTATGATCAGTCACAGAAGACTTGTCCGATTTGGATGACTTGTCATCCCCGCCTGTGAAAGGGGCCGTGTTCCAGGCGGGCCCCACCTCCAGATCGCCCCCAACAGCTTGGAGTCATTAACAACGATGACGATGACGGTAACGATGGTGATAATAGGACATATACTAGAAATCATAATAATAATCGTGATAATAATCAAAGTATCAATACACTAATAATGTATCGTATACCACCCCCCAGCATCGCGAGCCAAGTCTAGCTAGTTGGTAGTAGTGTGCACACAGACTTGAATAATGGATCCTCCATTCGCTTCACATCTGACGGAAGGGGAAGACAGATGATGAAGAAGTTAAGAAGGAAAGAGTAATTGCAATTTACGGTGGTAAGGAAGGAGAGGAGAGAGAGAGAGGGAAAGAGAGGGGAAAAGAGCCCAGTGCCAGTCCCAGAAGACTGGCTCCACTTGGCCAGCCAGGCTATTTCTCACTGGCGCTCTCTAGCCTTGTCGCGGAAGACTTCCTGAATTCCAAGCAAATGAAAAGATCTGTAAGTTGGAGTCTCTAATGATTCGTTCCAATTAGGATGGAAATGAAACCCAACAAGTCCTCCGGACCATCTTTGTGATCGGTCCCATTAGCATAATCATAATACCTATTGTCATATTCTCTATTCTTCTTGTCATTAGCTAGTACTCCGTAGACCATTTGCGACCGGTAAAATCCCAGCATTCGGCTCATCGGCGTCGGCGAAGTACTGTACAAGACTGCTAGTAGCCAAGTTAGTGGAAATCATGCTAATGAGTGCCCACGGCATGCTTCGGAATAAAACAATGTGATCCTGTGCCGTAAAGTACAACGGGGAGAGTGAAGGCACATTTTTCCTTGCCCATCTAGGATGCGCCGCGTCAACGATCAGTTGAAAAGAACTAATGCAGCTGTGCAGGGCAAGGCAATTGTGGTTGAGCTGCTCCAGGCATTGACTATTGTGTATGTTGTTGTATCTTATCCCTTGTAAAAAGCTTCTGATCCACGACTTTTCCATTTTCGACCGATATGATTATTGTTTCCTTTTCTTCTTTTCTTCTCCTCATGCTGCTCAAGTCACCGCCATTCCTCCCTTCCTTTCTTTCGGGTGGGTGACTCTGTATTCTCCCGCTGACCGTTGTCCTTCGTGGATGATGATGGCTTAGAGATAGGTTTGTTTTTAGGGTAGGATAAGAGATCTTCGAAGCTTTGGGGGGTGGTCTGTGTCGAACCACTTCCCGCTGCTTTACATGCTGGGACGATCCACTGCACCGTTTAGAGTGCGCAAATCTTGCATCCATCTACTGGACCCCCCTTCTATTGTTCTTTGACTGACGGTAACTGGCAATGACAGGCATTCCCTGTAGACCACCTCACTAGAGCGTAAGCATCCCTGCTAGTCCTATATTACGCACGTCAAGAGAAATGGTCTTTTGGGCACAAGAAAAAGGGGGAGGGGGCAAAGTACTCAGGGCAGGAGAGAAAGCGACTTTTCTCCTCCCCAGGCGCTAAGTTGCGCAAATCAACCCGCCCCCCCTCCCTCTCTCTTTCTCCACTGGCGCAGGGTATGATGGGAAGAGAGGCAGTGAGCTGAGCTAGCTTGCTACTGTGTACACATGTATGTTTTCAGTATCCAGAAGAAGCAATCGATTACCAGCCGGTACGATCGCAGTACAAACTGAGTATCCCGTACGGAGTACCATACACTCATTCTCTCCACCTCTCGCTTTGTCATACACGCATTTTCAAGCTGTAGACCTCATCTGGTCATGGATGATCTCGACCGCCGTCAGCACTCTATGCACCCTACTGACTGCTTCGTGCGTCCTTACGATCAACCTTGACGAGATTAAGAATACCTTACAGCAGGATGTGAAGCAGGCCAGCCGGCCAGCCGGCCAACCGACTGACCGATCCTATGCCCGAAACACAGAAGCATGATTATCACTGACTGCATGCTCATACTCATAGTTCTCAACGTCCTCAAACCTTCGACTCCGTATTAACTAAGTTGCTTACTGCCTCTTTCACTACGTACTCTCTCTATCTAACTAGCCTAGCCAAGTACGGTCGGCACCTTTTTTTACAGTAATCGCATCGTACCTAGGTAGGCAGTCATTCTAGACCATGGATTTGACCATTGGGTCGCCGCTTCGTGGCCAAGCTTACCCATGGTTGACTCTCTCTTTAAACCTTGGGTACACTGAGTGGGACCCGCGGCCATCGTGGAGACAACTGTTCGAACCTGGAACATACACGCCTGTCATCCATCCACCATTATTATTATTGTTATTGTTAATACATTTTCTTTTTTCATTTCTCTTTTTGGCGGCTGCTGCTGCTATGCTACCCTCGCTGCGGCTTCTTCTCTTCCTGCTTCTGTGGCCCTTTCAATCGGTAACGGTCTCGGCTGCCTCGTCTGGGCAGGTTCATGGATTTGTTGTTCAGTAATATATACGGGAGTACTGTGCTTATCTAACCACAGACCAATGTATTTTAGAACGCCTTTCGGAGATTATCTGCTCAGGATAGTGAGAGCTGAAGAACATGGCGCGAACGAGCATGGAAAACCCCCAGACAAAAGCAAAGAGTGCCAGCCTGTGCTTCTGTGTAGCTACAGGCACTAACTTACCTACTGGAGATACTAGTCTAGGTACTGTACAGTACTCCGTACTAAAGCATTCTCTCCGTCTCCGTGGCTAGTCCTGTATCCTCCTCCAATTAGGTTAATACCTAGTAGTCTCAGCATCAACCCGGCAGCGCAGGACGATCGAATGACTTACAGCAGCGCGCGATCCATTGATCCATGATCCGTCCCAACAGTTCACCGTGTGGCCCCTCACGCGCCGCCCGGAGTTCAAAGTCACTCTCACGGTCTCACCACCTTTTTCCTTTTTCCTTTTTCCTCCTTCCTTTTTTCATTTTTCCTAGTGGGTTTCTTCCTCTCCTTGACAGATGCTCATAGTATTATGCTTAGTATTGTTATGGAATCTTGACTTGGTTTATCAATTTTTCTCTCATTTCCTCTCTTATTGTCTCGTGGTGATCTTCTCTTACTCCATTGTCTGCCGAGTGAGATTGGCGTGCGAGATTCGAAACCTCTATCTACCTGGATCATTCTGAATTCCATTTGCAATCGTAATTAGATGTAGATGTAGATATTATTAGGAATTCACATTGCGCTTTCCAAATGCAATCGATGAATGAAAGTGATCAGCTTCTGCTTCGCCCGCCATCAATTGTTTCTTAACGGCGGCTCAACCCTGCAGGATTTGCTCGGGCTGCCTTGTCTATCTAAACTCTTTGTCTACCAGGCTGCTGCTCTTCAGAAACCCACCTGCGAATTCGGGTACCTGACGTTGCCATTATCAAGCATCAGCATCAATCCCGACAATACAGCTACAGTCAACAGGTACGTAGCAAGTGAACTCTCCTTGATGTGTCTATCAGCTTATTCCATACCTCCCCTCTGTCTGTTCACTCCTGCCATTGCTCTGTTTTGTTTTGTTTTGTTTTTCTTTTTTTCTTGATCCTTCTGTTGCATTTGCCGCTGAGGGCCCTGGATCCCTACGGTATGGGTACTGGGATCGCGCATCACGTTTCTTCATTTGATCTTGTCATGCTCTACGGCCTGCTCGCTCGCCATCGAGATTTGGCGCCGCTTCCCCCTTTCTTCACCCTTGGGTCGGCAGCCAATCTGAAGCCGAGGTGCATGCTCTTCCTAGCCCAAACGGTGGTTCCTGCCCGGCGTCTTGTTTAGCTTATCCGGCCGAATGGTCCTTGCTTCGTGGCGGATTGGCGGCATTTGCGCTGTCTGAGCTTGACGCTGGAACTTCTGGACCCTGTAAAAAAGACGAAGGGTATTGGAATCGGTACTTGGTGCTCTCGTCCATAGTTGAAAGGGTAAAAGCGTGAGTGAGAGAGTCAGTGTGGGTGAGTAAGTACATTACAGTACTGTACTAGCCGCAACAGCAGCAGCCGCCGCCGCCGCAGGAGCAGTAGCAGCAGCACCACCACTAATTACCACTTAACCACTCAACTACCTCCCACTTACCACCACCCGGCGGCGGCGGCGGCAGCAGCAGCAGCAGTAGCAGATCCCACGGTGTATCTCTCCGCTCTTCCGCACGACGCACGGTTCTTGTCCCAGAAAATCCATCCCACTCCTTCTCCTCTTCTGCTGCTCGTTTTGAGTTGCGGGATCCACATCTGACTGCTAGCATTCATTCCATTTTATTTTTGATACTGTCTGCTGTTTTTATTTTGTTCCACTCCATTTTTATTTCAGTCGATATTATTTACTCATCTTGTCATGTTTCCCTTTCCAGTTTGATTATTTCCATCTGAAGTCTTTTCTTTTCTTTCTTTTCTTTATTGTTTTTTCTCTTCTGATTTTATGACTTTCCCCCCCTCTCAATATCCTGTTCCTTCTGATTTCTCTTATCCGATTTCCTAAATTGCCCTTAGATTGAATTCTTGCTTTTTGTTTCTTCGACCCTTTCCCTCGGATGTTGATTTATTATTGTTATTCTTGCCCGATCAGAAGGCGACAGTTATAGTGACAGCCAGCCCAGCGATCCACTACCTAGTCCCTCACTCAGCTTCTCTTCAATCGCCCTTCCCCCTCTCTTCCTTCTCTTTTTCATCCGTCCCGACAATTCCTCCACGGGCCTGTGACTCGCAAGAAGCCGATATCGGGACGAAAACCCTCCCAGAGAAACGATCGCCTGCGACGGATCATAAGAAACCGGACCAAGAAGAACGAGGTTGCTCAGCACGTCCGGACCAGCAGCGCGTCAGAGACATTTCTCGATCTCGCCCCCGACTGCTTGCCTTGCAGCTTCTCTTACATTCCCGCGCAGCAGGTCTCAAGAAAGAAACCGATCTCGAACCCGAGTCAAAACACACGTGCCGGTATGTGGTGTATCTCTTCTGGGTTTCTCGACTTTTCTTGATCTTATTTTGTTTTGGCTTTTGGATGCTTGCCCCTTCTTTTCATTGCTTTTTGGCCCTGGTGAATTGGTCTTTTGAATTGGGTTGGGATTTTGGCTGTTGCAGCGGGTTCTTGTTCCTTGCTGCCCAGCCGCCTCACCTCAGGGTTGTGAATGGTCCTGCCATCGATGAGGGTACTGGAACTACTGCAGAGAGACACTGGGCTGTCTTGCTCCACATGCATTGAAACAGCTTCAGAGATCGAATGTAGTAGTTCTGGGAGAGGATCTGAGAAAGCTAGTGGTCCCTATCCTTCTTTCTAGAATCTAAGAAGGTCGGGGGTGGCTTCAAGCAGAACCATCCACCCATCCATCCATCCCTTTCATTTGCATTCCTATCTTGTCATCATT